GCGGGAGGAATTCACAGGCCGGTCAGCCTGAGCTCATTTCCTCTCACCGCCTCCTACAGGGTCTGAGGGCATCAGGCTCTGGAAAAAGTGAGCCAGGGGCACCCCAGCGGCCACCACCCTCCTGCCTTGCCCCACAGCCTTAGTTCGGCCTGGATTTCAAATGCCAGCCCTTCCCCCTCACAGAGACAGTCCTCTGTTCAGAGAGGAGAGGATCCCTGAGCCAGGGTGGCAACAGGCCTCGAACTCTTGGAGTCAGAGGGAGGATGGAGGAACTACCTGGTTGGAGATTAAGCAAGAAAACTCAAGCAGTATGATGGATTGTAGTCCGATAGCAGGAAGGCCTTTCCCGAAATGGGGGGTTATTGTGGCTGCTTGTGACCTTGATGCACAGGGGTAGGAAGGGCAGTCATTAACTGTCCCTTTATTGTCATCACAGAGAATCCCTTTCTGTCCACTGCCAGGGGAGTCAAAATAAATTAAATAAAGCATACCATTTAGAAACTGGTCAGTAGGGGGTCAGCATGTGGAGTGGCGGTTAAGAGTGCTGGACTCCCACATGGCTGACCACAGTTCGAGTCCTGGACCTGGAGGCTTGCTTTCTCACTTTCCCTCTCTCTCACTCTGTCTCTCACTCTGTCCCTCCCTGGTCAAATTAAAATAAATAAATAAAGTTAAATAAAAGAATTATTATTTATTCAATTTTTTTGAAGAGGTTTTTGCTATAGGGTATGTGTGCTTGCCAGACAGACAGAGATAGACAGAGAGACAGAAAGCGAGAAATCACCCCCCAGGGGGGATGGCCACGCCGCAATCCCTTCTCCTCCATTCTCCTCTTGGGATCTTGGGCATGCACGCACACGCGCCCTGCGTGAGTTTCAAGCCACCGGATCCAGGACGCGAACCACGGTCGACTACATGGGAGTCCAGCGACATAGCCATTACACTAACTGCTGATCCCAAGAATTATTTTTTTTTTTAAATTTAGCTGTAGCTTTTTTTTAGTTATTTAACTTTATTTATTTGCTTATTTATTTATTTTAATTTGACCAGAGAGGGACAGAGTGAGAAAGAGAGAGAGGGAGGGAAAGTGAGAAAACAAGCCACCAGGTCCAGGACTTGAACCATGGTCGGCCATGTGGGAGTCCAGCACCTTAACACCACGCCACCTGCCAGCCAATAAAAGAATTATTTTTTAAAAAAAAATTATTTTATTTAATTTTATTTATTTTAATTTGACCAGAGAGGGACAGAGTGAGAAAGAGAGAGAGGGAGGGAAAGTGAGAAAACAAGCCACCAGGTCCAGGACTTGAACCATGGTCGGCCATGTGGGTGTCCAGCGCCCTTAACCATCATGCCACCTGCTGGCCCCAAAAGAATTCTTTAAAAAAAAAAGTCAGTGGGACCAGCAGGTGGCATAATGGTTATGGCGCTGGTCTCCCACGTAGTCAGGCCCGGTTTGAGTCCCAGACCCTGTGGCTTCAAACTCACACCGGGCACATGTGTGTGCGTGCCCAAGATCCCGAGAAGACAGTGAAGGAGAAGGGACTGCGGAGTGGTCATCCTCCCTTGGGGGTGATTTCCCACTTTCTGTCTCTTTGTTTCTCTGGCATGCGCATGTGCCCTATAGCAAAAATTCCTCTCTGAAAACAACAACAAAAAACAGCATCTCCTTCTTGACACTCACTGGAGTAGGGATGGCTGGTTGGTGTCTAAGCCACCCCACCCCTTCTAGGACCTGAGCTCCTGACCGGATTAAGGGTGAAGGGTTGGGGGCTTGGGACTGGCTGGCTCTCAGCAGTCAGGTAGTGCTGGTGGTGACACAGTTTTTATGAGGTCTCCGTGTCCCAGGAGGTAAGGCAAGGGGTACCAGGAGGCAGAGTGGGACTCCCCACTTTCATCACCTCCCTTCTCCCAGTTCCATTCCTAGCTCTCTGTGGTCTTTGCCTTCCTGTCTTCATACTCCGGGAGCCCTTTACACTGGCGGAAGGCAGGGAGAGAGGTAAGCCTAGGCTGTGGGGAATGAGAAGCAGCAAGGGGAGTCAGATGGCAGAAACGAAGGACAGAGAGACTGTCCCTCCCTGGACTGTCAAGGGATGCACTGGAGGCGTCCTGCCGGGAGCAGGGACTTGAAAAGCTGACCCAGGACCTGGGTGTCTCTTTGGGCCCAGCTGGGAGCCAAGCCGGGAAGGGTGGCTGTGGAGGGCTTGTGACTAGGAGCCGGGGCTCTCACTGTGACCGGCTGTGGAATAGGCCTGGGGGTTGGTCCAGGGGCCTGAGCCACAGGACTGGCTGCGAGAAGGTACGTGGGCCAGACTTTGCCTAGGAGAGGGCTTCCCCTCGATTGAGGGGCACCCCTCCCCATGTGCTTGTGTCTCAGTTTCCTCCAGTCTCTAGACTGAAGGCTCCCAAAGCCTTCTTGCTGCCTCCCCCCTCTCTTCCATACTCGCGTCCTCATCTTCGTTTCTCGCTCTGCTCCTCCCTACCCCTCTCTGCTCCACTCCTCTCCGCCCCGTCTCTGCCTTGGCCTCTTGCACCTTCTGGCTCTCTGTTTCGAGGTCTGACTGGCCGTTTCTCCTGACTCTCTCCCTCCCTCGCCCAGTGCCAGTTCTGGGTTCGGAGCCCCCATCCTCTTTCCTGGGCCCAGATCACTATCTGGGTCTCTCCCCCGGAGGCCAGCACGCACGGTCTCTTCCCCAGGCTCTTCTGACC